GCTATAACGTGATAGTGAGAGAGTACCATGGTGGTATATATGGTAATACGTGATGGTCAAGTTGAAATATTTTTTTTTAAGTACCTATATTATATAGGTATAATATTGTATTTTGTTGGACAAATCAAATCCAAGTCAACGATTTAAGTCTCATGACCTCACCTCATATGATAATCATAAATATGACTCATGATTGTATAGTACGCATATGTTTGAAAATAAAACGTAATAATAAAAAAATAATTTTTACATAAGGAATATAACTTCGAAATATTTTATTTAGGTATAATATAATTTAGTACAACGTACATAAAATTATAGGTTGTGAATATTATTCTTAATGGTGAATGTTAAGTATATTTAATATGAATTCGTATAGATTTACCATTGCATTATTGTAAATTGTTTAGCAGTACACAAGTAGAACCTATAAAAACAAATAATAATTATAATAATATTTCGTAGGCATATTTTACCAATGCAGTATTTGTATTTAACCATTTCACTGTTCATTTTAAATCTCTCACATCTATACATAGCTCCTTTCTTCAAACGGTGAAGTCCGTGGATCGCGTCGTGGTCTGTATGGAATATAAGTGAATATAGTTCGAAGCACAATAGCAGTCAATTGCTACAATAACGGTAAAGCATACGCATCACCTATACTATTATAATATTATCAGAATATTATATCGCAGACGAAGCTTTACGTCTATGCTTTTACCGGATACGTGTCTATAATATATGTACCTACGGCTTATATTTTAATATAATATATTCTCATTTAAAACAGGACGTCCTGAACAGATTTAACTGGGAGCGTGCTTGTGGGTGTAACCGAGGCTTTAACGTTACACGACAAGCTACTGCAAGGAAAGAAATTAATAACGATTTTTAGTCACTTCTCGTTTTGTAAGAATTCGTAGGAGTAACATAATATTATTGTGCACGTCTAACACCAGCCCCACATTGTCTGGAAACGAGAAAACCACTGTACATTGCAGGGCATCGAACAAAAGTTTTCAGCGGTCGCGGAAAGCCTCGAGTATGCAGGACGTAATGTAATATAATATTTTCCAGGTAGGCACACCCTCGTACAATTCGAACTGGGGGGTATATTATGGTCCCGGAGCGACGAGACTACGAAACGATATGGTAACGAATAATATTGTTTTAAATCGTAAGAACAATGCCGTGCACCTTGGAAACTGCAGGCCAATCATTGGGGCGGCATGCAGAGCGTCGGATTGTGCGCGCGGTTGTTGTTGTTGTTGTTGTTGTTGTTGTTGTTGTTGTTTACAATTACTGTGGTCGTGGGTTGTGACGACGTGGCCGTTTCGCGGAATCTACGCGGAAAATCAGCGATCGACTCGGTGGAAATAAAAAAAAAAACACCCGCGTACAGAGGCGGGAAAATCCGGTCGTCTGCGGTGAGTGTTGAATTGTATTTTTACAAGCCGCAGTCGTACGAATACCAACAGTTTTCGTCGTTCCGCAATATTATCTCCGCGGCAGAACAACGGCGGAGGAACACGGCGGATCGCCCTGTATAAACGAGTGCGCGCTACGTATATTGCACGCGCAACGCACAAAAGAACGTTACGCCTCCACCCCGCCGCGCCGTGGTCTACACGAAAAACGGTCCTTTCCCGGCCGCGGCATGAAAGAACGAGCGTGGCGGGGCGGAGGACACGGTCTGACGGCGAGGAATGCGACCTCGGCGGCGCGTGAGACCGTCGCCGTCGCCGCCGCCGTAGCGCCGCGCAATGGCCTCTACTCCGCCACCACGTCGTCTTCGTCCTCCTGCTCCTTCTCCTCCACCTCATCGCCGTCATCCTTTACGGAGCACAATAAACGAGCGTCTCGAGTCTCGGACCGTGTTTCAAGTGTGCCGACCGTTTCTCACGCGGAGGCCCCACCCTCCCCCGACCCGCTGCAACGTGAGGGGGACAGAGAGATGCGAGTGTGCGTGTGTGTGAGCGAGAGAAAGAGTGACACGCACACACGCTCGGGTCCGAGACCACCGTTTCGATAATAATAATATTATGATCCGAATTCCGAGAGATTTTTCAATTTTCACTGGGGGGGGGGGGGCAGATAGCGACCGTGCCAGCTCTTTGTTTGTGTTGTATTTTTTGCGCACGAATGCCACACCCGCCGGAGATTTTGGTTTATATGGTTATTATACTGAAATATTCACTTATCTGACAAAACATGCCTAGAATAGAGATTAACATACGGGCACGAAAAATCATGATAATGTAACATAATGGCAGTCTCTCTACAAAATATTATTAAGCTATTTAAGCAATACAAAATTGGACCGAAAATAGCCATTGATCTCTGAACCAGGCATCAGCAAGCGAAAAACACACAAAATCGACAATTTTATGTACCCCCCAAGAACCTAAACATCCGGTGAGAGAAATGTTAAGCCTTAAAAATTTCTCTGGAGATAAATATTGTTGTCGGGGAGCTTATAAGTACTACACGTTTGTGCGCGATTAAAAATAGAATAATGAAATACAATTTAAACAGCGGACGTAGGCAATACATTACTAAAAATATTAATATTATAGCGATGACTAATTAAAATATACTGGTATGCCATTGCTCATTGGTAATCGAATCTCTCTGTATGCACTAAGTAGAGGCAGACATTAAGATATAATAATATTATGAACGTAGGTAACTCGTGTCAACAAGGAAAGTAAGAAAAGGGGGGGGGGAAATTAGATTGCGCAAATATACGGATTTCTTTTATTGTGATTTTACGACGTGGGGCTGGATGTGAGGGGTACACTTACGAATAACTGCGTTTTTCTTGTACACAATACATAAGAATTTGAAACGAACACTGTATTCTCTCTGGTCTCAACTCACCACTTAGACGGTGGTCACATAGGTACTTAAGTTTTTTTTTTTGTTATCGTATGTCCTTAGAAATGTAAAGATTATTATCGCCGTTTCGCTTTAACGAATCTTCGTCATTTTAGACCCGTGTCAGAAGGTATGGATATAAAAATATAGGTAGCATACCAGACGATATCTGATATCTTATATTGTGATGAAAATTAAAACCAGAAGACTGTTGACGTTATGGTCTATAAAGTATGGACACAAAAACATTTATTTTTATGATTCAATTCTTGATTACAATTCAAAATATATAAATACCATGTTGTGCTCTACCATTACACATTTACACTGATTTAGGCAGTGATAAAATATTTCAAATAATTACATTTTTTCGTTATTCTTTTATAAGTATATTATATAGTAGGTATATATAATATATACAAAATTAAATGTTCTGAAAGCAAAATGTTATAGATCAAGTGGCAGAGTTTGAGAACTGAGAAGGGAGGAAAAAAATTCTCAATTTAAACATATATGTTTTTATTTTGTATATAAGTATTTTTTATAAAGTAAAGTTGCTCCCAAAAGGTTTGAAAATGTTATATAACTATCTAAATTCTAAGTATAATTGTGAACTGTTGTAACTCGTGAATCATTTTAAGCATTTTCTGTAGATATTGAACCTTAATAATTGAGAAAATATCATAAGAAAAATCAAAATAGTGGGTTCTTCAATAACCATTAAACTCATTAAATATAATTAAAAATAAATTAGATAGTAAAAGGAATTTCTATATTTGTAGATTTATGTCTTAAGGTATTCATGGTGAGATTAAATGAACATAAATAATAATATACCAGCTACTTAAGTATGTTATGTTGTATTTGTAGTATCTATATGCATAAATATATTGTGTAGTTATTATATTTAAGTGTTTAAATGATAGTTTATATCCCAGTCTTAGAAGATATATTTGAAGACAAATGTTCCATACACGATTAAAGATATAATACATTGTCTATGCACATCTTTAATCATGGTTTCATGTAATAGTATTTAATTGATTTACAAAATATACCTTAAAGGGCTTAAAGTGGAGTTATACATACAACATCCCTGGCACCATAAAGTGGAAACACTGTATATATATTATATGTATTACATTTCTATTAAAAGTAACTAATTCATTAATAGTCAATACAAAAGTTCTAATCTAATAACCGTTAGAAAGTGTTTTTAATAGCTTTTCAGAGAAAATGATAGAATGAGAAAAATTAACAATTTCACATTTTTTCTCAAGAACTGAAAAATATTGATTAAAAAAAAAGGACTAATATCATATTACAGTTTAATATAATATTTAGACAATGACATTCACATCTTAAGTCTATTTTATAATTTGAACATCAAAAGCTATAACAAATCAAACTTTAAAAATATATTTTTTTCAGCACTCACTTATTTTTGGAATACTTAGAATGATTTTTACTTAAGATACTAGGAGTTATAACAATATTTTAACAGCCTGAAATGTGATCTTCTTAAATGAGTCAGTTCTCTATTGTTTGAATTTATTTATTCAATAGATCACTGTTTCTTTTACACATGATTGGAAAATTAAATAAAAACTAAAGAAATAATGATTGGAACTTTAAAAGAATTAAAAACAATAAATAACATATTTAAACAATTTAAATGAATCACTATGTACAAACTATCTCATTATTAACTTTATTAAGTTTTAATGACTCAACATTTTAGTTATTATACTTTTAACATAATAATAACATAACACTTTACGCCATCAAAAAATTTACTATTAGTATTTATTTAAAGTAAAAGTAATTTTCTTCTTTACATTCTGTATAATATTGTCTGTAATTTAACATTCAAAGTTTTTGATGAGAGCATTTGAAATGTAAGCTACATACCTACTTATCATACACATTACACAAAATATAAAAATAATAGTCTAAATTTAAGAATGAGTACAAATTAAACAAAATGTGGAATATACAGAACTATTTTGAATTTAATTTTCATATTATTTAAGAAAAAAACAATACATTTTTCTACCTAAATTGAAATATTCTAATAGAATAAAAATTACCAATTTACTATGATTTAAAATATAGAAATATTGAAAATCACACAAAACATTAATATATTTGAAATTTCCAATTTTTTCTTTTAGTAAAGGTTAACATTAAATATATATATATAAATAGCAACAGGCAATCTATACATCAAATTTGTTAAGTATTTAAATGTTCAACAAATGTGAATTAAGTGCAAAGTAAAAATTTGTAAATATAATGTCAATCATTAAGAAAGGAATGTACGAACAGTAGCCTTGATGGTCTGTCGACATAATGGGCAGTCTGGTAGACTAGAAGCACAAGTGATGCATGCAACTAAATGAGCACAAGGTAACATAACAACACCCAATTCTTGATCTAGACAAATTTTACAAAGGCGGGCTTCCTTCAAACGACGGTTTTCTTCTTCTAAATCTAAATTAAAATAATACATTTTAATGACAATAGTCATAATTATGAATCTTTCAAATATTATATTAATAGGTTATTTTTTATCTAAATTAATAGGTTTGACTAAAAATGGGAAATGCAGAGAGCATTTAACTACAAACATGTTTGACACTGTTTTATTATGAAATTTTCTTGAGATAGACTCTATCATATTAAACATAATATTTTTTGTCATGCCTGCACCAAGTTTTTAAAAAAAATCGTTAACTAAATAATAACTAGTAGGTAATCAATTTGTTGGAATGCAAACAAAAATGATCATAGCAATAATTAAACAAATTTGAATTAAAAAGGATCTTGCTTTTGAGTATATAGTAGAAATACATTCTTTATGATTTTAAAGTGCATTAAGTTGTGAACGGAAGAGACTATACTCTATTCCAAATAAGGTTGGCAAATAGCTAACAACTGGCCAACCACAGAAGGCCCTACGGTTCCAAGAGTGCATAGTTTTTCAAACTTATTCAGAATAGAGTATAACAGGGAACAATAGTACTAATGAGTTCCTTATTTTATTAAATATTATGTAAGAGGCTTTTGACTTTTTTACAAATAAATATTTTGATTTAAAAAAAATTGTACATGGAACATTGTATAGTCATAAAAAGTTATTTAGAATGTTAATGATTTTGTTAAAAACTAATAATGACATAAAAATGTATAATGTACATTTTTTTTTTGTTTATAAAGTTAAATAAGTTGATGGTTAAAAGGCCAACTGTTGTTTCTTATAACCCACAAAAACATAATAATATTTTAATATAATAGCAGTATTTTGTTATTCTTAACTTAATATTAACATCCTTAAAATCATATTTATTTATAACTTAATTTTAGTCACTGTTTGATCATGTAATAATGATAAACAATAATAATAACCATGATAGCATTTATCATTTAGTGATTCGTATTACAACATTTTAACATTTATGTGTCAGTTGAATACTTGTATGTAATACTACACGGCATGGTGTAGAGGAAACGTGACTTTAAGATTGCTAAATTTGGCAAATAATTTACTGTTAAATTACCAATTTTGTTAATATTAAATAATAAATATATTATTTAAATGAAATGTTTTGTTTAGATATGAACAGTTTTATTTTTAAATGTTTCAAAATGTTACATAAATAAAACATATGCATTTTATTTGATGATTTCAATAAGAATAATTATTTTTATCATAATATTTCAATGTGGCTCGCAGCGCTTTATATTAAAAGAAAAATAGAAAAATAGTATACTAAACATTGAATTGTGGGTTATGAAATGAAGATTTTTTTGTTAAAACACAAACATTTTTTATGAAATTTAATATTTTGTTGAAACTTCATTTTTGACAATTGATAGTTAAGTTAAGTGATAGTTACAACAGATAGCCTTTTAAGTAAGAATTAATAACCATTGAAATATTAAACCTGTCAATTAGGCAGTGGTCAGGAAATTTTAAGGATAAGCTATGTATTTAAACTACTTAACAACAAATTATGTAAATACTTAGTTCAAGAGATATTAAGAAATAAAAAAAAAATTAGAGCATTATTGTAATATCACTAAAAATAGCAGGATATTTCTGACCACTAGAGTTAGAAGATATTAACGATTAAGGCTATTAGTTCTTGAGTTGACAACAGTGGTTACAAATATAAATTTGATACATTTAATAAAAAAAAAAAATACCTGAATGAGATAATTTAATACTCCCACTCCCAGATTCATCACTTGGTAAATTAACTTCTTCTGAAATTAACACAAAGTTAAATGATTAAAAAAATTAATAACTGACCAAAACAGGGAGTAGACGTGTGATACATAATTAATGCAGTCATAATCATTCATCAAATGATTAAAAATAATTTCAATACCTTTAGTTTTAGTATCGTTAGATTGACTGGAATGAACATTGTCAGCTATAAATGCAGATTCATTTATATCAAGAGTATCACTTTCATTTTGACTATTTGTTATATTTTGATCTTGAGGTTCAGATATTAATTCATCTTCTAAATCGCTTTGTAACACAAAATTACTATCTCTGTAAAAATGAAATAAACTTTAATAAAACTGAAATCATACTAATTTGCTAACTTACTCGTCACTTTCATTAGATTCACTAGATTCTTCAGACAATAATGCATTAGAAAGATGCTGAGTAACTCCTGTTCTGTCCACTGGCCCTTCTCTCTGAAGAATTTGTTCCAGAGTCAATGTATCTCTAAAATGCATTTTTTTTTTTTTGTAAAGACATACTTATTTTAATGCTTACAAATTTGTTTTGATAAATACCCATCAGAAAAAAATGAATTTTGATCTTGATTTAAAACCTGTTGCATAAAACTATCCATTGAACGAAAAGGTGTGCCGATATCTTGCAGATTACTACGAATTGCTTGTCGAATCTGAGATGGTTGCAAGCCTAACTCTAAAGCCATCTAAAATATCATTGATTCTTATTATAATTAATGCCCAACGAGTAGATACATAGAAAATAAGAGGAATCCTTTGTCTTACTAGTGCAGGAGGTAATAGCATAAGATCGCTAATTTGACGATCAGTGGTCTCATTACTTCTAGTTGAAGAACTCATATTATATGGGGAAATGTTATCTGTTTGGTGTATACTAACCACTTGTCCCTATAAAAAATAAAATGTTAAATGTAAAATATTTTTAGTATGCTAAGATATAAATATATAATATTCATAGAAAAATATTGAACAGATAGTGAATTTAGCCATGTTTGTTTTTTGGATAATTTTAAAAAATTTAGTTAATTTGAAGATTAAATCAATAGAAGTTTTTTTTTTTTATTTTATTTTAGAACCATCAGCCATCAATAGAAGTTTCAGGGTTATTTGTTAATAGATTAATTTCTTAGAAACAATTATAATATGTAATCACTAATAATACATTATAATAACTATAAATAAAACATTATTTTGTTGTTAATTTCTATCTTTTAAAATTATATTTGTTATTTTTAGTGCAATGATGTGAAGAAATGGTAATAACTTATTTAGCATTTAAGATTTAAACAAGAGAAAATAAGTAATACAAAGATAAATTGTAAAATGTTTGTCCACTATTCTACTCATCTAAACTATAAATGCTTGTAACTTACAACCTACATAATTACTTGCTTATAATTCAATTTTCATCTCAAAATACTTCAAAAAATATTCTTCTTTAGAATATGAAATTAAAAATGTATGTACAAATTATGTACAAAAATATTTTCAAAAACTAATACTTTTGAAACAATGAGTGTTTTACGTTAAGTGAATTAGTGATTTTCAACTACCCGTTTATTGTATAGTAAATACACCATTCAAATTTGAATTTTGACATACCTCTGTTGAATCATCGGGCCTAGGTCTACTTAAAAGCGCATTAAATCTTTCCACCAAACTTCCATCTAAGAATTTTTCTCCTTTTACTAAATTTAAAAAGCCACAGTTTGGAAACCATTTTGCATGTTCAACCCATGAATTATCTGCTACCTCCCAATTTTGAAGACCTCCATCACAGTAATAACATCGAACTTCGTCATTACTACCTGTAATAATTAATTTGACATCCATTCATTAAACAGATAGGGAAAATAAAACTTTTTGAAATATTAAAGGTTGCTGTACAAAAAAAAAATAAAATGTTTGATATTTCTGAGCATACATTCTGATATAACTGATATAAGTTTAAAAACAAGTCAATTGCTAATTAAAACAAATACAAATAATTCATACCAGTGAAAAAAAATCCAGCAGTAGCTAAGTCTTCAGGTTTTTGTGATTCATTATTCCAACCTCTGAATGAGCTCAATCGAGCACTAAATGAATTATACTTTAAATGAAAAGCTACTCTATGAGCTCTTACACCCAAACCTTGAATATCAATTGGTTCACCTATTTTGTGAAAATGTAAATTAATTAATTATACAACTAACAGTAAGAAAGGTGTACAATTTAAAAGAATATTATTTTATGTATTTAAATAAACACTTGTACCAATATTTATTAGTTGTTCATATTAACAGAATATATGTATACATATTTTCCTTGAATAAGCACTCAATAATTCATAGTAACAATAATTTAATTAACTATTAAGTAACATTATAATTTGAAAACAAAAAAGTTGTTGTTTAATAAGTTATTAGGTAATTTTTGTTTTGTTTTTAAGTTTAATTGAAAGTTAATTAAATATTATTAATTGTTTTACCTACTTCATTATTATAAATAATAAACATTATTGAACAATACAAATTAATATTTTATCATGAACTTGGTAAAAATTATACTGTTTCATTATTAAAATGAACTAAACTAAAAACTGACCAGTTTCCTTATGGTTTTCAACAAATTCTCCCCTCAGCTGAATTCCTTCGATAATAGGTATATTCCCGCAGTCTTGACTAAGGATAAAGCTACAGTCAGGATTGTGACGTTTATGTTCATCAACAGCATTGTCACCGAATTCCCAGTGACAAATACAAATATTACAAAAAGCACATTTAACCTAAAATGAATAAAGAAATATAACATTATAGCACTTAACAATCTATAATATTACAGCTGTATAACCTATATAATATTATAACTAGTTATAAATTATAATTACTTTATCGGTTTGTTTGGTGTAATAGAATCCAGCAGCTGCTAAACTTTTCGGACTAATGATAAATGATACTGGCCAACCAGCAAATGTACTTAATCTATTGCTTTCATTTTTTAAATCGATCGACTGTGATGATTCCATTGATGTGAATAAATCTGTAAAGAACACATGCATTTTAAATTATTTAATTTAACACTGATCAACAGTCTTCTGAAGGGTGAAAAGGGGTAAAAAAAAAATGTAAAATGTATACTTTTGTTGTGATGACTAAATTTGACAGAAGCCAAAAACAAATTATAGAATTTTACAATTTACCTATTAATTATTATGAACAACTATTAATAGATATTTGACCAAAAAAAATATGGGTATAATGTATATGTATATATTATACATAAAAAGAATATTATCTCTACCTACTATACTTGTGTTATAACTTAAAGAGATAAAACTATGTACAGGCGTACAGTACATACAGGTGAATACAAATAATATATTAAGATCAATTAAAATGACCTTTTATAATAATATAAACTTACGTTAACAATTTAACTATTTATTTTTAGTTTGTTTGATTCCACTAGATCTGACGCATTTTATTCGTTCTTCTTAACAAAGAACAAAAACCTAATTAATTAGCATACAATATACATATAGTTGATTTCACAAGAACTCGAAAGAATTAAATATTTATAAATATGATTATTGATAACAGTTAAGAAAAATATTATGCGCAGAAACTCCTGTAATTATTAAAATAATAATTACCATTGAAAGTTACCACATACTAAATGATTTGTTGTTGTAGCCACTTCTCCACTTCACTGTCATCAGTAAGTTCTTGAAGCCTGTAGCCTGTTGTAGGTTGAACAAATCGATAAGAATTGATAATCATAATATATGATTTGTTATCATAACAGTTACCGTGGTTGTGACATAGAATAGATTAAATTGTGATAGCAATAACCAACGTGGATAAAAGAAGTTGGCTATATATAATAAATATAATAGATTTCACCTATATTCTGTGGGTATATTCATTGGAATTTGGAATTACATTTACTCGAAAAATCGCACTTCGGGCACACGTAATTAACATATAAATTACGTAAATCAGTGGCGTAGACAGAGGAAGGAGGCTGTAGCCCCCAAATTTAAAAATTATTTCTATGGTCTATATGAATGTTATTATACAAGTACACACTTGTATTATAGCCGTAGCCCGTAGGTAACCTAACCGTTGGTACAGCCGGCACAGGAACAGCAACCTAAAATAAACCCTAGGCATCAGTACTCTGAACTTATGAGAGACCCTTGTTAAACCAATTCGGTTAAACCGCCCCCAAATTCGCCCCCCTCCCCAAAGAAAATCCTGTCTACGCCTCTGATGTATATAATAATAAAATCATTAGGGCGATAATATTATGTTAATTAATTAAGAAACAAATCTTCTGTACCTACAACGGGATTTGTAGAGTTCTAGAGTTGGGAATCGGTATATACAAAACACAGAGAAGAGAGAAAAGATAACCAATGTGGTTTAGTTGTTACCTTCCTTTTAATTACCTATTTTACCTTTTACCATTTAATATAGTAGGTCAATGGACTCTAATCATCAAAATTAACGGAGCGTAACACGAACTGCTGAATATAAATTAATTTGTATAATAAAGTATTATGTAATGATATGATCTTGTAAGACTGAGATAACTATTGATGGTGTAGCCGTGTAGGCCGTATAGGTTAGGTTAGGTTAGGCTGTGTAGGCGTGTAGGGATGTGCATTGTTGGTCCTCACTCCTCGCACGAATGTTTAATAGTAGGTAAATACTATAGTACAATATTACAATACATACCTATACCTACACAAATTACAATTTGATAAAGTTATTTACATTGTCTTATAGCCTATTTAGTCTATAAAATGGCCTTTTTAATTCCATTTAACAAACACACAGGTCTTACATATGTGACCAGCAAAATGAATAGAGTAGGATCATCTTTTAATGTATTCAGACATTCAGTGTACACTGTATACCTAATAATTAATTACCTATATTATAATTTTTTTTATACGTGTTTGCATTATTTAAGCTAACTGGATAACTACAATAGACTATGTTATATTGTTCATAGTTTAAACTTTTAAAGCATTGGGATATGGAGTATGGACGCGTGTTTGCAATTTATTCATTAGTATATTACTATATATGTAGTTTAAATGTGTAATATGACGTGTCAGTAATAGCCGATAGGTAGGTATATAAATGTATAATATATTAATATGTATTATGTATATAATATGCTCGCATTTAGTCGCATAACAAACATGTATTGGTTGACAGCCGACAGGTGTCTGTTCTAATCTATTTTCAAATTTGCTATATAGACGGTTGAACACTATTATTATTTGACGGTTTTCATGAAACTGAAACAAAAAAATAATAATAATGATTGGAGAGCAAAAACGTAATGGTATGTTAGATGTGTTTATTATATATTGTACCTAACCTATATATTGAATTTTGTATAAAACCATATGTCCATATCCCATAAATATTTTAATTTTGAATCGGTTAAGAAATCAAATAAATATAAATTGTTATTGATCTCAAGCCCAGTAACTTAGGCCATTAGCTGTTTGTAGAGGGGGATGCTTAGTTTGAACAAAAAAAAAAAACTCAGGTTATTGCTTAATACTTAGTACTTAGGTACTCAGTTCGGTGGCATATAGCTACGTATATATATGGTTTATTTTAACAGCTCAATATCATTGATTTTTTTATGTGTACACTAACACTATTATATGTGTATATCATAATATACAAAGTATAAATATAATGTACACATCCTCACCATCGATAGATCCTGTATGCGCCACTGACCCAGTTGTATAGCTGTATGCATAATGTAGGTAAGAGGTACATATACAGTGTATAGTTTATTTATTTAGCCATATATAGGTACAGAGCAATATCGTTATTTTAATCGCCACCACGGCTAAAATTTAAAAAATATTGTTTTTACGTTTTTGTGTAAACATTATCCAATTTTAATGTGTCAAATTATTGCACGTTGAAATGTTATTTTAATTTTCCATTTTTTTTTCCAATACATTTTATTTGTATTTGTAGCATAATTATCCACACGACCACACTGTTATGTAAGAATTATGAAATTAGTAAAATTTTTGTTCAGGTTAAATTAATTTAAACCGTCCTAGAGTATTCTTTATTTGTGTTAAATGATATGTTATATTAAATTGTAATCAATTATTTTCGTTTTTCATTTATTTCCGTTGTAACGTTATTTACAACATTTTGAAGCCCTGTCGCTGTCCATACATATTTACTTTAAGTATTAAAGTATATAATAATGAATAATATAATGTAATAAATTATTATATTCTTTATATCATCAATAAATATAATTTTTTTTAAGCTTATGAATAAATAGTGTGGTTATCATTGTTTTTAAGAACTTATAAGTTATAGTAGGTAAAAATCGTACAGCCGTACATAATATTTTTCAATACCTGTCATTAGGTATGATAAAAATACACGATAATACAATATTACCCACTTCAATTTAAGACATTGATACTTCAGTGTTGACAGTTATGTGTTAACCTTCGGGCAGCAATGGACAGCTTATCGGAGCTAGGTAGGTATCTGGTATATACTTTCATACAACATTACACTTTACTGCAGTACCGAGAAACATGGTAATTTTATAATTTTTGTTCATAACATTTTATTTGTTCATATCATAACTAAGGTATGGAAGAAACAGAAGTTAGGTGTAATAGACTTTATATGCTAAAAAAGTACAAAAAATGCAAAATTTCAAAAATAAAATTAGAAATAGGTATATTAATTACCTAATATTTATTGATATTGTTTTTTCGATTGTATAGTAGTATATTATACTATATATTACTACATTGAAAATAGTTTTATTAAATTAATTTAAAACTAAAAAGAATTAAGAAAGATTTAATACAATGGTATATACAAGCAGGGGTGTGTTTGGGGTTACTTATGATAACTCCCTTTGGCATGTGTTAAATATAAATTATTTTGTAATTGTCCGGTTAAGACGTATAATTGATGTTATGTTATTTTTTCCATATATGTATATGCGTATATGAATGTCTTGATTGGCTAATTGTTTTTATAAAATCGTTTTTTTATAATCTAAAATATATTTTAATTTATATATTATAGATTTATATAGGTACAAATATTGGTAACATCTCCCCCCTTCCCAACAAAATCCTAGATACGCCACTGATCTGATGTGTCGAAAATTTGTTGTCAGAATGTCAGCTGATGATATATTCTGTTATAATATATTATATAAGTATAATTGAAGTATATGACTATTCAATGTTTAGATTTTGAGTTATTTGATATTCTGTCATTCTGATGAAATTAAAACGATATTTTATGAGGTTACATATATACGACGCTCCAACGAACAAAAAAATATTTAAGTTTTAATATTTTTTTTTGCGATACGCCAATACAATTAATATTTTAATCTTTGCTGTGTAAGTTAAACGTTCCGAACGTACCTATTGTGTTATTCACATACTCAATTACACAATGAAATATGAACTAAAATTAAATTGAATTTTCAGCTGGGAAACTTAGAATGTATCTCAAAAACAGAACTACAACATCTACATAGGATACATGTATAGAATTATAAATCCACCATAATATAAAATATTATACAATAAACATATATTATGTTAGGTAGGCATGTAATTATTTGAGGGGCTTGCTTACCAAAAACGCCTTATAGCCATCATGTTCATATAATATGGAAAAAATTGTTTAGGTATCTACGAGTGTCCGTTGTCAGGGCTGGTTTGTGCCTTAAACTCTTGAAGCATTAATTTTTACCAAATTTCTTATTGTATAACTCTGGGACGTTAGGAGACTTGTGTGGTGACGATTTATTTAGAGCATTTGAGCGCCTTGGTTCCTTTATTAAGTTATTGCATAGCTTTTAACGCGGGCCTTGTGTGGTGACTGAAAAAATATTTTTCGTAACGAAAAAGTGTGACCGTCAGTCGTAAGGTTTTCTTTTTTTTCGGTTCTCCGCGCTTAAAAAGTGTAACTTTAATTAATATCATACAAAATACATGATACACAGCTACAACATTTCTACGCAATAGCTTTGCCGTGGCAGTCCCCGAGTGTCTCAGACTTTTATTTTTTACAGAGCCAATGAGATTTGTAAGTTTAATTACTATACATATTATATACGTCAAATCGTTATGGTTACAAACTGTAAATAGAATTATAGTAAAAAATGATTGACAAGAAAAACGCCCTTTTAAAACTAACATAATCATCCGCTCAAATATTTATGGTGATAAATATGTCAACGGTTTTTTATAAGTGCCATTCAACAATAAAACCGTCTATAAAATATTTTCTTATGTTTACGTGTTTCAAAATTGTTCTATTATAGCCTACCGAGTATAGTAGGTACTAGGTACCTATAAAAGATGTATTCTATGGCGGTCTTGCTATATGCTTTTATAGTTATTCTTAAATTAAAATATCCAGTTAACAAGGGTCTGTTATTTTAAAACTAAATGATTTGTTCTTATGTAATACACTAATACATATATTAATATACTAAACCGACTGCCGTATAATTTATAAACTACATAATATTAAGTTTTTTCAGAGGTGTTTGGTTTTATTTTTGATATAGTTAGTTTTGAAAAGTATTTATGAATATTTCTTTTTCACTGAAAGATGTCTTTATAAAGATATTGATTTTATTTGGTTTATTGTTGTCTGTTGATATTAAGCATTTAAATGGAATAAATTACGGTATTAGTACAATAGGTATATAACTAACCTATGAGTAGGTATCTAATTGAATAGACCATACTATTATTATTTGTTGGGAACTGATAAAATTTATACTTTAAAATATTAAAATAAACTAGATTTATGATACTGTTATAATATTTACATTTATATACTGGGTATAAGCGTTTATTCGAATATTGTGAATAAGTGAACGGTATCGGGATAGGGAGGAGGGTCAACTTAGGTTAACCCCCCAAGGACGTTTGACAAATATATATATGTACTTGGTACTTACATATAATTTTAATTATAATTCATAACGTTTATTGACTATATTATACTATATTATATTATGTTCCTTCCCCCCTCCCCCCGCCAATTCAAAATTTCTGAGCATCCCTCTGAACAGTATATAGTATATGTTCTTAACATAGTTGCGCAAAAATTGAATTTATAATACACAATTGAATTATTATAAACATCTAATTTAAGAATTTCATTTAGAGAAAGCAATAACTACACACTAGCGAAGCCGGGTTATTCAGCTAGTTGTAATTAAAATTAATATTACAATAAAGCAGATAAGTTTTACAGTCACAATGGGCTTAGAAGATGAGAGTACCTATACAAGATTCCAAGTTGGTTCTATTAATCCGTAAGGCGAACATCACAAATATTGACATGTTATGATTAGTCAGGTCGGTGGGGCAGCTATCATAGGGCAAAGCGGGGCAGTGCTATACAATATTACGTGGGTATATTTTGAATTTTTATAAATTTCACTATAGTTGGGGAGGCTAGTTCATTTACTGATCCGGGGCCCTTTCTCACTTAGCTACGCAACTGAGTCAAATTAATGTAGGCCGATTGCCGAAGGCATCAAAATGCGGGTCCATATACTGATGTACGTATAACAATTGAGAGCCTCCGTACATTAATTGTTAGGGAGGTCAACTATGTTGTACATACAGTATACTTTTTAATTAAAATAAGCAATAATGCGACAAGCGGAGTAGTAATGATTAATGGTTAAACCTGATACTCCGTCATCGATTTAAAATGAAAAAAAAAGGGAAAGGATATGTAAACCACTCTGCTTTACTGTTGTAGGTGTCGAGTGTACCTCGTGCCACTGATGTGTTAAATTTTAATTAAATGATAAATAATTGCATTTGAAAAACGACTCTGAGCGAAGACGGCCTGTCAACTATCAGCCTATAGTATACCTGGTATATTTCAATATTTTTTATTATTTATAGATTTATATTACTATTAAAGTGTATTTTACTACAGTAATATGGTTGTAAATAGGGAATACCTTAAAATTAAGTTGACATTTTTACTGAAAATATTGCATTTGAAAATGTCTTTGACTTTTGAGTGTATAAAATATAATACTATATATTTATATTATATTTTATATTTATATAACAACAAAATAATTAAAACTTTTATTATTTGTTTAAATATCTAATTTCATTCAAATATTTATTTAAATATGTATATAAAAAAAAATGTTTTTGAATTACGACAAAGTAAAAAAATTTTGTCAAAAAATAGTTTTGAGTATAAGCTCCTGTTTCCCAATCATTTTGAAAACTAGGTAGGTACTGGGAATTTTTAATTTTGCCCTAATTAATTTACCTTTGATTTTTTTTTTCTATTAGCTATATCCATATTATTTTATAGAATAAAATATGTTAACTGTGTTCCAGTTTAACTTTTCAATCACAGTCCGCATGTACAATATTTTAGTCATTATAAATAATATTGTACCACCTTGCTACAATATAAACAACAATAATATTTATGCACTTATAATTTGTTCACCGAAAGAACGACCGACCGACGCCGTGGACCGACGAAAATCAGTTTTTCTGCCCATCCCAATGCGATAACTTGTCATAGGAGAACCAGTTTCGATGGCAGGGTAAAGCGCAGGGGGCGCAATTCCAATGAAAAACTGAGGGTGCTATAGCACGTACACTAGTACACTTAATTGTTGAGATTAATTGTAAATTACAAAATTTCAATAAAAAAAAAAATATGAAACAATTTAGGGGTGCTAATTTCAAAATTGGGGGTGCTAAGAAATTATGCCTATGATGAAGTGGGGGGATACAGAATCAGCATGTTCTCTTTCCGAACAGAGTATACATATAAAATGTATAGGTATGCAATATGCTGGTTTCATACAAAAAAGCGTAAACACATAATTAAAATAAATAATAATTTTTTTATTCAATGTTAATTTAATAACTTATCATATAGATCATTCGAGTATTAAAAAATGCCGAACAAATGCATAAATCTTACACGGGTATAATATAATATTAAACACAATAAATATTTCAACTATGTACCAAAAAATAAATAAATAAAAATAATGAACTTGTTAATTTATTTAATAATTATTTAAAAAAACGAAAATGTCCATAATATCTTTAATGGGAAAAATCGTTTTATCATCATATTGTTTCAAAACTGTAATGCGTATTATAATAACAGAAGAGTTTATGCCCAAAATGAAATTGTATATTGTTTGTGGAAGATGCAATAATTAGGTTATACCTATGTAAATACGTAATAATACTGGTATTGTGGAATGATTGTGATATGGAAGGAAGTTTAAAATGTTACGTTGGAATGTATGAGTATACTTGCTATAGTTGCTGTGTATAAAATCTGAGAATATTGGGGAATTCGGCATCAGTTTTGTATATAAATTTGGGCATGGAACGTTGTGGAGGATAAGACGAGCCTTTACATATGTCTTGTGTTTCCAAAATTGAGACCACTTTGATTTGCTCCCTTGTTGGATCCGTATTGCAGACTGATGATAGTTTGGCCGGCTTTGAGCTTGTCTTCGCTGAAGTTACGAATGTTTTTCTCTGCTTCTTTCGGTCCAATACTTGGAGCACCGAATTGACCAGCCTATATAAAGTGCACGCGTTAATGTATTTTATAAGCAGTACATTTTATCTCAATATTTATATAATAAACATAAATATATTGATAATCAGAAACAATTCTCAATTATACCTTTCTACCCAATGACTGCAAGCAAATCACCACAGAGTTCAAGTTCTGACGTTCCCATAAATCTACAGATTGGAACGTTTCTTGAGAAGGTACGCCGATGGATACAGCCACAGCCAAAAAGTTATTTATGTTTTCCATACACTTAAAAGCCATCGCGCTAGTGTTCACTTTCTTAACGGATCCAGGAATTAGAGTGTTTACCAATCTACAATAAACAAAAATGTTATTTAGAAGTGTTCAACGGAAACTATGTAAAAAGGGAAATAATTATAAATAAACGCATATTTTGTATACAAATGTATAGATAATTATTTAATATACGAGCGAGTAGCACGAGAAAAATAAATAGAAGTATGTATTACATTTCGTGCTTGGATTAGTAAAAATGGATAGTAGGTATACATTAGTTTAGAATATTATACACATATTATGTAAATAATACTATAGGACATATATGTATATTGTATATAACACACATAAATTAATGATTAATTGAAGTAAAACGATATGAAAGTGATGGGAGATCTTTATGGACAATTCAAGGATATATTTTATCAGTTCGAAAGTAATGTTTCATTTATTACGTAGAATATGACTCACTGGCACAATACTTGTCCGTCCTTAAGGACTTCAAAAAAGTTGTCTGGATCGCCAGATGTGTTCAATGGCAAACCGGTGACGCTGCTCACCCACTCTAAACATTCTTGGGCTAGCTCTTCACTGTATTTGCTGTTGATCTATAAAAAAAATAAATGTTTTAAAGGTTAGATTATTTTTCGAGGCAATGAACATGATAAAAAGCATATCTTAAATGTTTACATTGTTTCTATTGTTCTCATGATTTACGCAGTACTGTGGTTATATTTTACAATTAACATTTTTTTTTAATTCACTGCTAGTAAATATCGATGAAGAGAAAACCAAATGAGAATGTAAAAATAAATTAGGTTGAAATCTTTCAATGAACTAAACCTTTAAATTATTTTTATCGAATAATTTTCGAATTATTATCGAAATAATTATTTATGTAAATAATAAAACTCAATAATGTTGTATACATGCACTCATTATATATTTCAAAAACTATTAACATTTTTACTTATTATAATAATCATTTTTTAACTTTTTAACTTCTCGGAATGACGATATGTACGTTATACATTTTATATTTAAAAGCAGAATATTTTTCGGAGTATTTTGATGTGTAGAAATGAAATTTCAAAAAATCTATTAATTAAGTTGTTATAAGTTAAGACTCAGCGTATAAACTTTAAGTGCTTAAAGGTTAGATGAATATAGGATAGAAATAGGAGCAGTGGAGCACCCTTGCACAATTTTGGTCCACTACTAAAAGTCCACTCATCAAAACTTTAAATGTTTTTATTAAAGACTCCAAATTACGTAAAAATAATAATTTTCATAAATGTTTAGTTTTAGAAATATTGAGTGTCTTATGTTACAAAAACTATCTCGTAGAATAGTAGAATATTATAATATATTGGTATATTTTTTCTGAATTAATATGACGTATTCATAGATTATAAACTAACTATACATTAAATTATATTTTTTTATTTTGTTACTCGCTTACAGGCTACAGTCAAATATAAAATTATATTATAATATCTGTTTAATATATTCTTATTTTATTTGTTCAGACATATTGACGACTGCGGACTGACGGCAATTACAAATAACTGAATTATAATAATATAATCGCGTGGAAATAACAATTTATGATAATATTTAATATATTTTACAACAGCGATATATAATATTATGAAATTGACATAAAATACATATATATATAACTGTTAAATTAATTCCTGATTTATTTCCTATTTCATTGCTCTAAACAAATACATTTTATAATACCCTTATTTAGTAAATTCTTGAAAATCATATTATATATTTTTTTTGTTCAGTAGTATTTTCAGCGGAAATGACATTTTTCAACATGTATTCATATATATTATCGTAATTTTGCATTAAATAATTATTTAGATAATAATCTATTTTGAAAATATTCAATACAACTATTTTGGGTTTTGAATCATCAAAAAAACCGTTGTATGTTCAAATTACAAATTACTACAAGTATACAAATAGTAAGAACAATAACCAATAGGCAAAATTCACAAAATAGACATTTTTTTAATGTATTTCACATTATCTCACTATAGATATAACAACTGAATAAATAAAATATTAACGATTCATTTAAAAATGTAAACAATTAATAGGTTTCTCTACAAATTATTGCTTGAAACATTTTTGTGTAGTACGATTACGATTATCACATCGATATTAAGTATTTGTATTTATTCTTATTCCTTTTAACTCTGGCCAATGGAGAATAATTTATATTCAAGTGCCCAGTACATTTATCGAGAATGTGCCGAACGTGGAATAATTAGTTGCTGATGTCATCGCTAAAATCAGCCAACAACAAAAACTCGTTCCTACTGTTTATTATTTTAAATTTCTAGTCATCAAGATTCAAGAAGGAAGCACGTATATCTTACGTAAATTTATATGCGAAATCGTGAGTACACAACAATGAACATTTGAGATATGATTCAAAACATTTTAATACTTTTATAATAATCTACCATAACACAATAAAGGTAGGTATTAATTATAATTGTTTTAATTAATATGACACGATTAATCAATTAATAATATGCTACAATCTAAAAACAAATTATGACTTTATGACTAATAAAGTAAATTTTTTTTTATTTCAATTTTAGAGGAAATAACTAGCAAACTATTTTAAGACTAAGAGCCGAAGAGGACAAAGTGTTTAAATAAATTGGTTTAAATTCTAAATTTATTTTTTCTAATTCTTCTAGGTGGTATACACTTTTGTATTAATTTTGGAAATTATCATAGAAATTTGATAATATTATTCAGTAATAACTGTTGTGAGGGCTTAATTACATTAGACACAAGGATGACAATTGCCATAAGTACATGATAAGGTTAAATTATTACTATACATTATTATACATAGTACTAAGTAATAAATATTTCAAAATCATATTCCTCATCTCCACTTACTGCCCCCAATTCTTATTAAAACCTGTCTACTGATAGCTATTGTCCTTATTTAAATCGTCTGTAATCCGTGAATATTCAAAAGATTTTCTACTCTTAACGAGTGGCAGGTTCTGGGATGGAGTTGAAGGGAATAGTGATCAAGCTAAGCCAATTTCTTAAAATAATTACTCCACTTTGTAATCAATGATAAAATGATAAACAATACTAATAAGTTGTTCAAGATTATGTGCGTGGGATTGAACTATTGCCATTTACAACAAAATTAACTATGGCAAGAAAAGTATACGTTCTATCAGTTGTTTTCTCGAGGTTTTCTCTCTTAATCTGATGTATTTAAAATAATTTGACCCATTGCGTATTGAATTGATCGTTCTTACTAAAGTTTTTATTTTTTTCATTTTAACTTGACATAAATAGAGTATAAAACACTGACTTTTCATCTTAGTTCAGTGATATCAAAAAAAAAAAATAATAATGTAGTACACTATGGTTTTATATTATGTTTATGTCTTTACATTTAAGTTATCAAATTAATCTATATGACTTTATACATATATATATAGACGTACAGTCGATACTTATAAATATATTTTTGAATAACATAGATGCCTACTACCAATAGAATTGACAGTATTTTGTGTCGATTTATATTCGTTTAAATTCTTGAAAATCAGACGCTCTTCCAAAAAAAAAAAAAAACATTATATCCCTTCATTTATCATTCTTCATCTAACCTTTTGTTTATTTATATTTTCTATATTAAAATCAATAATAATGACTTATTTGTCATTAGTTGAGTTAAATTGTTCAAATAATAATAAAAAAAAAACTATTTAGCAACATTTCAAGAGATATTATGTAATAAACTAATAACTATTTGCATTAAGTCGGATGTTGTGCAGTTTAAAAATGAATGATAACATTTTAATCAGTTTCCACCTCCATAAACAAAATAAGTTTCAAAGTTCGAGTACTTGTTAGTAGTGTTTAGTCATGAATACAGTTTAATTTATTTAGAAAATTAAATAATTAAAAAAAATGAAATACCTACAACCTACATTAAAAATTGATTATTTCAGCTGTTAATATACAGGTTGTACTGTACATAAACATTTTCACACAGACAACTTTTAACACATTAATGTGAAATTCATATTTTAGTATACATTTTAATCTATTAAGTAAAAATTCCGGTATAACATAGATTTATATTCTCATCGGTCATCACACGATTCCAGGCATTTAGCCTTTAGTTTTCAAAAACCCATTGACTTATATATACAGCACGTGATAGCGAGATGGCAACGCAAACGGACAACAACCAATCGACCCACATTGGCCATATACGGTATCTTATTTGAAAAAGCGACACGGCCATATATAGAAGAAACACAGAGATGAATCATCGATTGATACAGGAGGCCATCTGTTTGTACTATACATTTATTGGATTCAAGGATTTCGTCAAAAAAACCCTTCATCACATATAATTGGTTATTACTATAATTTAACAATATTTAGCTAAATAAGGAATTGCACAAAGAACTATATCGAACAGTTTAATTATATGTATTCATACATTTATTTCCTAATTACAAAACGCGTCAACATAATTACCTTAGGTACCAGATGTTATAACTGAACACTGTCGCGTGTTATAATTAATACGATACAAATATTAGAATAAAATCTTTAAGGCAAGTGCTAATTACAGTTTAGAATAAAGATGTTATGTGAATCAAAGATAAGTTAAATACTAAAATATTAAAAAACCAACAAACACTACATATTATATAGGTCTCTAGTCTCAACACAGTCAGTAACTCATTCTTAAGCTGAAATATATGCTGAACTCGTACATTTAACATTATAAATTATAATTATTATTTGAAGTTACGCTAGACCATCCGAAGCATTGCAAAAAACTTAAAACCCCAGCTATAATACAAATTCATCGGCACACTAATTTCAAAAAAAAATAAATCATACTCTATAGTTTATTCCGAAAGATGTTAATTTAATATATTTAATGATCATAATTATGGTTACACATTTTGGTTATTCCAGATGTATCAATATGTATTAATTATAAGATTATAATAGTTTACAGGTATGTCTAAAAAAAACAACACCTCATAAAAAAATTATTTTTTCGCATGGAATGCTAAATGGTAGGGCGACGTACGTATGCGTCATGTTTCTAAATCGAATACAATCGTTTAGTGTTAAAGAAAATTTCCCAACACGATTACAATTTGCAACACTTATATTTAAGTCTTAAATATTTAATTGACCGAGACAAAAACCAAGATCATAATTTCATACATCATTATTATTATTATTTATATGTCTATTACATATTTTATTATGTACAGACTAATTAGGTACAACCATGACGATAGACGTGAGACGGCCGACGGGGTAAATATGTAGAGATGTAAATTACGCCTACGCAATGACTTTTTAACTTTGGTATGTCCAAGGAGTTAATAGCTATTCGAAAAAGACGCGTTATCTTTGTGTTGGAAGGAAAAACCGGTTCGGTCTCCGCTACAAGCACAATTGTGTGAGTGTAGGTGCAGTGGAATTATCTGAAAAGACGTAACTTAACCGACATTTTATCGGCGAGGTATGCCAGTCGTATATAAGAAGGTAAGTACCAAGTACCTACCGTCTACAAATATAGTATGATTCTAACATATTTTATCATACGGAATATTGACACACAATAAATATTGAATAATATTCAATAGACATTTAAAAAAAACCGTATTTATGCAGCGTAATATTACTAATTTGTATTCTTGGGATATTGCCGGATCTTATATAAAGAAAATAACGTAATTCAAAGCGAGTGAATAATAATAATAATATAGTATAGGTATTAGGTACGTGTGCAATAAAATGACTGATAAGTTATAAGTGTTATAGCAATAATAACTAATAAGTATAATAACTTGGCGGTAGTTTTGGAATCGTAATATACTAGCACCAATACAAGTATAATACTAGTATAATAATAATAATATGTGCAGTCTCGCGATTCAAAGCTCCGCTGAAAAATATTTTGCTATTTTATGTTCGTTTTGCAAACGAAGGTTTCTTGTCGGACATCGCTAGTTGTAAATCACACTACAAAATACGTGTAGCACGTGGTGAGCGAGTAGAATCGATTAACTTATCGACAGTCATGAATCAACGCATAGGAATTTTAGTCCCATCGAATTTCCATCCGTTACCACCACATCTGACGCGTACCTAATTCACTGATTAGTACTTAAGGTAATAATTATTTAAGTATATTTTGAAATCACGTAATTGTTTATAATAATATATTTTCTATGAAAGGTAGTTTTATGTGTTAAATAGGTACTTAGTACATACGGAGAATGTGGTTATAATATGAATCGAAAAACGAGAGTAAAAAGTTCTATTTAGTATTTTCATAATATACTTAAACAAAATGGAGTAATGAACGATGCGAAATAATTCATTTAATTGGATTCAATTCGATTATCGGGTTACCGCAATGTTTACGGGTTACGTGTTTACGACAAACAATGCGTAATGTAAAAACAACATTACTGTATAAGTATATCATATTATATATGTATACACTTATTTAATTCGATACAGTGTTTATGAGTATATGTATATATTTATGCTCAAACTTGATTCTATATTATTCGTGGAATACATTTTTTTCGTCATAGTGTTCAATTTGAAACATGCAACGGCCTACAAAATAATAAAAAAATATAGTGCATACGCAAGCCAATTTACCCACAGCATGTAAACAAATTTAATTAATTGGATTTGCCCGGAACGAGCGTGGACTTCGAGTCCTGGGTGCGTTTGACCTATATAACATGTAACTTTTTTCCGTGCACAACCCACAGGCATCGGCGAGGAGGAAAGAGGGAGACGTTGTGTGACCTGATCTCACCACTATGGCCCAACAATAATATTTATTATCAAATGAACTGCCGTAAATGCTTCTATAAAATATTTTATACATAATACATTATACGTATCTACATCGCACAGATGAATTTGAAACCTTGGAATTCGGTATAGGTCGGAAAACAAAAAATTCGTCATACCGTTGCGTGTTCTTTTGTTACACGGTTGAAATAAAACTTGACTACCTACCAACCTTGGTTGCGATTTACAATAATAGATTTTGTTGGTAAAATAACGATCAATTGCACCCGCAGCAGTGGGGTTCCGGTGGACACGATGTCCTGTAGTAAAGCCTACGGGGTATAAATGATCTGTGTTGTACTGCTCTAGGGTTGCAGGGAGGATATAATGCAATAATGCAGACGCGTACATAAAATCGAACTGTCCAGTGCGATAGAATTGTCTAAAAGGCTAAAACGCCAACCTACGCTATTGGGGATCTGTACTCTTTAGGACGCTTTTATACCGAGGCCAACATTGAACATGTACTTATAAATTCTTTCTCTAATCGGCATCAATCATGTGAACGGAATCCGCGTTTCTGAATATGTTTTACACGAAAATCGCAAGTGGCACCGGCTCGAAAGTTACAGTACGCCCCGCTTGCATGTACACTATTCAAACGGTGGTTACAGACGTTACACAGTACGGTTAATGATTATTACCGCCAAACACCATAGTATAATAATATTATTACGTGTACGTTTTAATAGTAATGGACGGCACTTGTCGGAATCGAACAGGTGTACTAGATGTACAGAGGTTACCTAAAATGAACGTACCTATGTGTTGTAATAATATGGCAGCTGCACATTATACCTTACGCTGTACACCACTCAATATCGTGATTAAACGCGCCATGCACCGTCGACACGGAATTAATTGCATGTACAGTGTAGCAAATCGTGTGTTGTACTGCACACGGAGCGTAAATCGTAGTGAAATATTAAAATAATAATTTGTGTACAGGTACCAGCAAGCGCGAGTGCACTGCCCATAGTACCTAGTACCTAATTGGAAAATATGTATACCAAAATAACGAGCTGGTGGTTACTCACTTTGCGTTGTGCTTCGGCGGCGAAACCAGACTTGGTGGCCCTGTTGTTTGCCATTTTTGACTGAGAATCTTCAGGATATCGGAATGGAACTGAGCGAAACGGACGTCGACGGCGACGAGTGTTTCGATTATTGTTTTTTATGCACGCCCGTGATCGACGGTTATTAATAGTATTCTAATATATTGTGCTGTGACGGGGTACGATCGGAGCTGCGGCGGACGACGTTCGTACAAGACTGGTCTAAGATAACGACTGATTGGGCGACGGGCGTCGGCGGCGGGTTGTCGAGTGCGAACCGGACTGTTCCGTACGGTTTTATTACGTTCGTCGCGAGCCGAACCTTACCGACGACGACGGCGACGACGACGACGATGACGATGACTACGGCGGCGGCGACACATCGCTCGCAGCAGCCTCCCTCGCGAGATACGACCATAGCCATAATATTCAAAATTGTTATTATTTATTTATTGTAGTTGTTAGGTGCTTATTGGCTGCAGTGTCCGATATTTTTCCCCATACGTCTTGTACAGTTATTGCTTATGCGATGTCGGTGCACCATTTGTTCTCTCTCTCTCTCTCTGACCCGGTTTTAACATGGACAATTAGAGTACAACTGAACCAATCTTGTGCAATATTGTCAACTTTAATATTATATAAGAATATGGTGAATTTACCTATAGGTATTGTCAGAGTTAAGTTCAGAACATAACGTTTGTAAGTTGGTTTTTGTACAATATTTCAAATTTTCAAATGGTCTGCAATAGGTATATAAACGTTTTTTAAATTTTAATACTGGACCAGATAGTGTACTACTTCAGAGTACTTCAGGAGTGTATCCTCTTCATATATTATACAAAAGTTGTGTTTTATAAATATATAATAATTATAATAATATATTTGTAAGGTGTTACTATTTACTTTCACATCAGACATCGGACATCACAGTATCACACATAATAAATGAAGTAGCTGACATCAGTATATATAGTGTAATATACGACGGATATAAGATATACCTAAGTTTGTATTATAAATTGACTATTAACACGCTCCACGCCGCCACGACAATATAAATATTAAATAGTACTTATTGCATATTCACAATATTTACATATATGATCATACATACATGCATAATGCATATTAGGTATGTGTGTAAATAGGTTCCAGCAAGATCTGTAAAAGTTTGAATACTTTATATAGATCTCGGGTTCAACGGGTTCCCGACTCAGCCGTCATCCGTGACGACGACGTTTTATCATGTTCGCATTATTATACTCATACAGTCATACCTACGTTTTTTTCGATCTACAAAATATACAGTATTACCTACACTCTCTGTTCAATGTTTGTATTCCTCGAATCCTCAATAAAGGTGGACGATTCGCCTTGGTATAGGTAGTTGCTACTTAGGTATATATTTTAATCCAAAACATAGTATATAATAGTATATTACCAACTAAATAATCAGCTTGTGCCCACTAGATTATATACGTACGACCAGAAACGTCTGTAGTCCGTCTATATTATGTGCTCGCGTCCATCATAAAAAAGTTACTCCTACTGATGAGTCCCACCGTTTTAACCGTTTCACCACACAGAAAGCATTACATTCTATGTGGTCTCGCCGCCCTCTTTTCAGCAACCACAGCACGATGCCGTTTCACGAGAAACCTCCGCATCTGAACATAATACATACTAATATATTATAATACATATAGGTATTATTATACATTATATTTGTTATATGGTTATTAATTATTTCATTCATAGTATTTCATTATAAATTAAACTCGACAGTCGTGTGTCGTATACTCGTATTGTACTCGGGTGTGATATGTGTATATATACAAGCCGCATTTTATATAGACATAGTGTTTACGGTAAACTGCAGCAGTATAAATATTACATTATATGTTTTATTATTTATATTCGTCTGTACGCAACAAAGTAGAAGTACTGAAGAGTTTGTATACGAATTACGAATGAATACCTATAGAAGTATACTATAACCTATATACATTAATAAAACCTAATGTAATAGCTATCTATATTTTAAAACTTTATTATATAGGTACATAGGATGTGCGTAACCGCCGAATATTATGTAGGTAACTATGTAACATATAATAGTGTAGGTATATACTGCGGACGATAGTATACGATACATATTATAGTATGTAAATGTATAGTGGTGAAAAGTTTGGAAATATTTTATTCAGACAATTTGAAGTCATTACGAATCAACGGTCTTATCATTTAAATTTTTTGAGTTTCTTACTTCTTTTAATGGCAGCGTACATACATATTAATTAATATTCCGAAGCAGAATTTTTTTCCGAGTGTTTTAATGTATACAAATTGAATTTTAAACGAGTAATTAATACGTTATAAGTAGGTATAATAGGTATTTAAAGTGTTGATGAGCGCAGAGTACCTATAGTGGACATACATTTTGCACAGGTGCCACATAATCACTATATACATGCATATAATGATCAAAAAAATAGTAAAAAATAAAATGTTGTATTGTCATGACTTCTAATTATCTAAAAAAAGATATTTCTAAAAACGTTACATATGACTATTCGAAAATATTAGTGTTTGTACTGTTTACATTTAAAAGAGTCACCCTGTACCTATAACTGGCTTTAACACATATATACACAATATCACTCGCACACAAAAACGGATTAGGCGAGGTTATTATTTACTCAGCGTTTGAATAAACGTTTTTTTTTACAATAGTATAATATATAGATATTATGACACATTATACAAAGTATTATTTGGTGTCATTCGAGGCACTTTTTATTTCCATATAGTGTTACAGGTTTTATTATATGTTTTATTTTTTTGTAAAAATAAAACAATTCTACAGTGGACGACCTCCATCCTCCATGCTATAAACTTTGAGCTTGACGAAAAATAAGCATATTTTACGTACGAGAAAAAAATTATTCTGACAGTAATAATTAAGAATCTGAGTTCAATCCTTAGGTATACAGATAGTTGTATTCGAATTATTGGATATACTTGTTGTAAGCTGTAAGACGTGAGTGACGACCTGTTTTTTTTTTTTTTTTAATAAAGCTTGAAAAAATATTTAAATATTTGTTTTAAAATGAATTCTGATTAAGTTTCGTGGCCTTGGAAAATAAATCCTATTGTAGTATTATTTATTAGTATTCTGTTTAAAATATTTCATTAGCTTATTATTAGAAATAATATGAATTAGGTATACCAAGGTACTTATAATTATTGTTACTATACTTTCATTCATAAATAATGTTTTTTGTATACATTTAACCAGCGATTAATCACACGTTGTTTTAAACATATTTTTCACACTTAAAATAATACTAAGAAAATTGTAAAGTCCGTTCTAAATAAATATTTAATATTTTCAGTGTCCTTGGAGTTCTGGCTTATGGCGTCTTTAATTTTCGAGCCAAAAATGGGCATAATAAGTTACAATCAATACATTATAAGTGTGTGTATTATATATTATATGTATTTATATGTGTAGCTATAGCACTGAATTATATGTTTCACTTTCGTCTTCAGCTTTGTAATATTATAGTGTACACTGTACGGTTGAGAATGTCTTTAATTTGTAGAATAAAATAATCCCTAGCAGGTAGAGTTAGGAAAAATTCCCATTGATTTATATACAAATATACGAATATTATATTAAAATATAGTTCTAAACTTCTCATAAATTATGTAGTCTAAATATATAGGTATTTTATTTTTCACGGGTCATACAACTGTATAATATGTAATATATTCACATTACAAACTATAATTGGATTTAATCGAATTGAAAATGTCAATATAGATTACAATTTAGTACTAACATTAGTAATTGTATACCCGACTGATGCCAGTATGCCACTGCTATAGCCTATAATAAGTAAGTAGCAAGACGTTAATACGCTATATACTCTGCATACTTAACCTAACCGTGTAATATATTATATTAGTATATTATTGTAATAGCTTTATACTTTATAGTGTTAAAGGATACAAATTTAGTTCATTCGGACACGGCCTAATAATAAAGTTATTATACACGTGTATACAGAGTGATTATTGTAATCAGTAAACGTATATGTTTTTTGAAAATGTTATTTTTACATAACTTGAGGTCATTAAATAAATTTTAAATAAATTCGTAAACTAATTCATAATTCAACATTTTGAAAAAAATCTGTCATTGAAATTTTTTATTTCGTACTTTGTATGGGTATAACAGAATGTTTTTAAGCATTTTTGAATTTTTGAAATCGGGACGAGTGGTGTTTTAGACAGGGTATGAGCATATTTTTAAATCCACGTTCAACATAGTAAAATGGCCAGTACTTTAAAAAGTAGAAGCATGCCCAGGATAGGCCTGGTTAAAAAAATGACTTTCAAACAATTTTATTTTTTGATACTGACCTAGCGATGAATGTACCTATTAGTTTTACAATATTGTGTTTTTAAAATAAAAATGTTTTTTATCTGTCATCACCATTATAGAGCCTTACAATACCTTAATTTTCCACTTCGAGGGTAGTTTCTGCCGTTTTTGACTTCTGGTACCTAGCTAATTGGATCTAGTTAGTACCTGTTTAGGAGGGAGGAGATGGGTCAAAAATTTTATAAATCTGTAAAAACATAAAAATAATATTTCTGAAAAACGTTAATTATATTGACACAAAACTAATTTTCGGGGCAAATCAATTTTTTTGTGATTTAAAAATAAATAATCGTAGAAACGTGATATTTTCACCAAGTAGTATTTTCTAGATATGATATAATTTTCAAATTATGTTGGCTCTTTTTATGCTATAAAATATAAAAAGACATTAAACATTTTCAAGATATTTTATTTTTGGTTCTGATACCTCTTTGGTTCTTTGTATTATATAACATCATCGAATTACGTTAATGTGAATGCACGATTGTCAAATAATAACGAGTTTTAACCTAATCCATAAGTTTCTCCCATTCAGCAGAGAACATTGGAGACATCTTGATTGTGATTCTACGTCTCTACCAGATGATGACAGAATCCGAGTGGACCCGAGAAACATAATATTTGATGTCGTGTCAATTGTGAATTGAGGATGAACAATTCTATAGACTTGGTAATAAATCTGATACTTTGCCACAATTACATATGTACCAGAAACCAGTTTGGCATTTGTCTATTGTCTTTTATATCTCTGGATGAGGTGTGTCACACGATTCTAAATCATTTAGAGAAATGTCGATCTTTATGTCAAACAGAAGTGGTCACTAGTGGTCA